CCAGTAGTCAGATTGAAGATTAGCAAGAGAATGGGTATGACGGAGCAGTCTTTTGGAGAATTCAGGATGGAATGGGATTACTTGCTTATGTAGAGGGGTTTCTCTTGGCCAAAGAGAAGGGCCACCTCTTTGAGTGACTGAGGGAGTGGGAGAAGGCATCTGAGTGTTGGTGAATGGCCTTACTTTCCCCCTGAATTACAAAGCAAGGTTTCCAGATGAGAGGGGAGGGGTGGGCACCTGAAATTCTTGTTTTCTTGTCAGACAGCTCTAGTTGTTAGAATGAAATCTATTTCCCTAAAACTTCCATTATTTTGTTCTAAGTTCTGCCCTCTGGGGCCATGCAGAGCAAGTCTTCTTCCATGGAAGTCAACTCTGATGTTCCCTTTGTCTTTCCTTCCTTAAGCCAGTCTTTATGTGGCATGGTCTGGAGGCCCTCATCATCCACACACCTTCCAGTTAGATGTTACCTGTTCTATGTCTGGGTAAGGCCTTCCCTGCCCAAACAGAAAAAAGAAGCTAATGATAACTGGAGAAGCCAGGAGGCAGAACCAGGCAAGGCTATAGGATGGTAGGATCGAGAGTTGGATCAAGGCTTGAAGTCCTCTGCTAAAAACTTTTGGACACTGCTAATATGGAGATTTGCTTTGTCTGGCTATGCATATTTCTTACAAATGGCTTGTTTTCCTTTTCTTTTCCTTTTTTTTTTAAGAGGGGAAAACAAGAAGGAGAGAAACTAAATGCTCATTATTTAAAAGAATAAAGTACAAGTTCAAAAAACTTTTTTTTTCTGCTAGGAAGCAACTACAGTGTAATAGATAAGATGTTAGTCTCAGAATCTGGAAGACCTGAATTCAAATCCCACTTGAAACTTAATAGCTGTGGGATCCTGAACAAGATAGCAAACTTTGGTTTTCTCATCAGTAAAGTGAAAGGATTGGTCTTCATTGCTTGTAAGGTCCCTTCCAGTTCCAAAGAGAAGAGCTAGAAGGGAGAGCTTGTCCACTTTGGACAAGATGTCCTTGATTCTCGTGCCCAAACTCTTAATCTTCCAGATGTAGAAGCTAAGGCTGAGAGGAGCTTCATTTCCCAATGACAGAGCTGGGATTGGAATTTAGGTCTTCTGAGGCTAAAATCATGATTTTTGTTCCTCTAGTGCAGGGGTGGGGAACCTGCAGCCTTGAGGGCACATATGGCACTATGTCCTCAAGTACAGCCCTTTGACTGAATCTAAATCCCCTGATAAGGGGATTTGTTCTGTGAAGTTTGGAGTCAGTCAAAGGGCCACACTTGAAGACCTAGAGGGCCACATGTGGCCTCAAGGGCCCTGGTTCCCCACTCCTGTTCTAGCCTGTCCATTCCTCTCTTTCAATGAAAGTAGGAGTCTGGTAAGTGGGTCAGCGTAGAGGTCAAGGGGAAAGAGGCTGGAACTGGACCACCCTAAGCCTGGCCATCACCATCCTTTGGTTTGCCAAGTTGGGGAGTGAGGGGATTTCCTTTAAAAAAAAAATCCAGAATGTCATCTCTGGAAGGCACCTTAGAGATATATAGGAAGAACAAAAGGTCCAGAATATCAAGGGAATTAATGAAAAGAAATGCTAAGGAAAGTGGCCTAGCCATACCAGATTGTAAATTGTATTATAAAGCAGCAATCATCAAAATTACTTGGTACTGGCTAGGAAATAGAGTGATGCATCAGTAAAATAGATTAGGTACACAAAACACAGTAGTCAATGACGATAGTAATCTACTGTTTGATGAACCCAAAGACCCCAGCTTCTGGGATAAGAACTCATTGTTTGACAAAAACCACTGGGAAAACTAGAAAATAATATGGCAGAAACTAGGTACAGGCCAACATCTTACACCATATACCAAGATAAAGTCAAAATGGGTACCCAATAAGGGCTGATACTATAAGCAAACTGGGAGAGCAAGGAATAGTTTACCTGTCAGATTTATAGAGAACAGAAGAACTCATGACTGAACAAGAGATAGAGAACATTATGAAATTCAAAATGGATAAATTTTGATTACATTAAATTGAAAAGTTTGTGCACAAACAAAGCCAATGCAACCAAGATTAGAGGGGAAGCAGAAAACTGGGAATTTTTACAACCAGTGTCTCTGATAAAGGCTTTATTTCTAAAATACATAGAGAACTGGGTCAAATTTGTAAAACTACAAATCATTCCCCAATTGATAACTGATCAAAAGATATGAACAGGCAGTTTTCAGATGAAGAAACTAAAGCTATTTGTAGTCATGTGAAAAAATTCTCTAAATCACTATTGATCAGAGAAATGTAAATCAAAACAACTCTGAGGTATCACACTACAACTATCAGATTGGCTAACACAACGAAACAGGAAAATGATAAATGCTGGATATGTAAGAAAATTGGAACACTAATGCATTGTTGGTGGCATTATGAACTGATCCAGTTGATCCAACTGATCCATTCTGGAGAGCAATTTGGAACTATGCCCAAAGGGCTATAAAACTGGGCATACCCTTTGACCTAGCAATACAATTTCTAGGACTGTATCCAAAGAGATCATAAAAATGGGAAAAGGACCCACATGTACAAAAATATTTATAGTAGCTCTTTCTGTGGTGATAAAGAATTGGAAATTGAGGGGATGCCAGTTGGGGAATGGCCAAACAAACTGTGGTATATGAAAGTAATGGAATACTATTGTGCTATAAGAAATGATGAGCAGGTGGACTTCAGAAAAACCTGGAAGGACTTATATGAAGTGATGTTGACTGAAGTGAATGGAACCAGGATAACATTATATACAGTAACAGCCATATTATGTAATGACTAACTTTGATAGACTTATCTCTTCTTAGCAATGCAAGAATCTAAGACAACTCCAAAAGACACATGATAGAAAATGCTGTCCACATCCAGAAAAAGAACTATGAAGTCTGAATGCAGATCAAAGCATATTATTTGCTCTCTTTCCTTTTTGTTTTGTTTCTTCTTTTTCATGGTTTCTGCCTTTGGTTCCAATTCTTCTTTACTACATAACTAACTTGAAAATAGGTTTAATATGAATGTAAATGTTGAGCCTATATCAATTTATACATCATCTTAGGGCGGGGGGAGGAGACAGCTAGGGAGAAAATTTGGAACTCAAAATATTATGGAAATGAATGTTGAAAACTAAAAATAAATACATTTTTTAAAAAGAGTATCAAGGGAAGTAGTGGGAGAAAAGGTGAAGGAAAGTAGCCTAGCAGTACTAAGTCTCAAACTATATTACAAAGCAATAATCATCAAGACAATCTGGTACTGGATAAGAAATAGAAAAGTGGACCAGTGGAATAGATTAGGTATACAATACACAGTAAAAAATAACCATGGTAATCTAGTGTTTGATAAATGCAAAGATTCAAGCTTTTGGGACAAGAACTCACTATCTGGCAAAAAAAAAAATGCTGGGAAAACTGGGAAGTGGTTTGGCAGAAACTAGGTATAAATGAACATCTCATACTGTAAATCAAGATAAGGTCTAAATGGGTACCTGAATTAGACATAAAAGGAGATATCATAAACAAATTACGGGAGTGTAGAATATCTTACCTGTCAGATGTATGGATAAGGAAAGAATTCATGACATAACAAGACAGAAAGAGCGTTACAGGAAGTAAAATGGATAGTTTTGATTACATTAAATTAAAAGAGTTTTGCAGGAACAAATCCAATGCAGCCAAGATTAGAAGGAAAGCAGAAAACTGGGAAAACATTTTTATAGCAAGTTTCTCTGATAAAGGCCTCACTTCTCAAATATATAAAGAACTGAGTCAAATCTATAAGGATATGAGTCATTTTGTAATTGATAAATGGTCAAAGGATATGAACAGGTGGTTTTCAGAAGAAGAAATTGAAGCTATCTAGAGTCATATGAAAAAATACTCTAAAACACTATTGATTAGAGAAATGCAAATTAAAATGACTCTGAGGTACCACCTCAGACCTATCAGGCTGGCTAATGTGACAGAAAAGGAAAATGATGTGTTGGAGGGATGTGGAAAAATTGGGACCCAAATGCATTGTTGATGGAATTGTGGTATATGATAGTGATAGAATACTATTGTGCTATAAGAAGGATAGTTTCAGAAAGATCTGGAAAGACATATATGAACTGATATAAAGTGAAGTTAGTAATCATCCAAGACAATTCTAAAGGACTTAGGATGAAAAATGTTATTCATCTCTGGAAAAAGAACTGATGGAGTCTGAATGCAGGCTGAAGCATACTTTTTTTTTAAACTTTATTTTTCTGGTTTGTTTTTTTGGTCTATGTTTTCTTTCCCAACATGACTAACATGGAAATAGGTTTTGCACGGCTGCACGTGTATGATCTATATCAATATGCTTGCCTTCTCCAGGAGAAAGGAGGGAATGTAGTGAGAGAGAGAATTTGGAGCTCAAAATTTTTAAAAATGAATGTTAAAAATTGTTTTACATGTAACTGGAAAAAATAAAACATAAAAAATATAAAAATAAAAACATCATTCTGAGAAGGGATCCATAGATTTCACAACACTGCCAAAAGGAGTCAAGATACATGAAAAAAATATTAAGAATCTTAGATTGTAAGTCCCTTGAGGGGAGGGGCTGTCTTACTCATCTTTACACTTTCCCCAGAACCCAGTACAGTGATTTTCATGTAGCTGGAGCTTCATAAATGGTGGTTGGCTTGTTATTCCACTTCCTTCTCCAAGGCAGCCACACTTGTCTTTGGCTCAGTGTCTCTGGAGTTTACTCCAGCCTAGACCCAAGGAGGCAAAGGAATGCCCTTGCCCTCAAATCCAGTGTCCTTCTTTGCCCCTGAACCTTGTTGCAGTACCTGTACTCGAGCTCTCTTTTCAGGGAGGAGCCAAGGGCTCACATCCAAGTTCAGGCCCTTCCAATTTGGCTGGAAATGTTTTTTGATCACCTGATAGGCTTTTCAGGGCCAGTTAGGGAGGAGGAGTTACATAAAAGATGGTCCACGTTCACTTGCTGGGCAGAGGAGACTCCAAAGCAGCTTGTTCCAACCCCAGGCACCTGTAAGCACCCAGACTACACAGGTAACTTCCTTCAGCACTTCTTCAAGCTCTGGGGAGCCCTCCCTTTAAGGGTCACTGAGTTCTAGTATTTGTGTGTGTGTGTGTGTGTGTGTGTGTGTGTGTGTGTGTGTGTGTGT